ATCGATATCGATGAGGTTGAGCAGGCATTGCGCCAATCAGCTAGCTTTAAAAAAAAATTGCCCCCACCTCCCGTAAGGGAATCGCGAGGAAATGTGAAAGCATTTCTTGCGCCAAGAAAGGGCCCCATTGCCGTGAGGCATTAACCTTCACCGACTTCTGCCATCGCCTCGAGAGGCGCTCGGCCAGCGAACGGTCGAGAGTGAGCGGACGGGAGAGTGGGGTGCCAGCATTCTCGACTCAGTGTCGGCGTTTCGCAGCAGCGTCTCGAGCACACATTTCCTGATGTTCTTCAAAAGCGCCCAGCCCAGCCAGCGAACGCTCGAGAGTGAGGCGCGAACGGACAGGAGAGTGGGGCGCAGGGAGGAGAGAGAGCGAACGTTGAGAGAAGGAGCGGCGAAGCACATGCACCTACCATCTCCTACACTCTCTTGCACCACATGTTCGGGTTGCTAGGGGCGAGGATAGGCGCGCGCGCCCGCAGCTGTTGCTATGAGAGAGGGGGTGAGAGCTGAGAGATAACACCGGCCGCAGCGCGGACAACGCCTGATGCCTGGCATACCCAAACTAAAAAATGCATTCGCATTTGAAACATGTTCCTGTTCGACAAGTAGACGTCGTCTGCTTCTGGTGGCAGATATGCACCCTGCTGACACCACGGCGTACGCTAGGGATACAGGAAAGGCCGGCATAGGAACACGGAAATGTCTTCTTTTTTTCTCGGTGCACAGAGGGCGTGAATCACTTCCGCGTTTGGCATTGTTGATCGTGGTGGCATTCCAAACTTGGCACGCGTGTCCCCTTGAACTGCTAAATAACGTATCGGACGCATGCATGGTTTAGAGGTCACTTTGTTATCATTGGACTGTGTAAGTAGAAAAAAGTTAACAGAGCGTCCAGTAAGTCGCGCAAGGTTACATGGGTCAAGGCAGAGCTGGTGGGCATGCACTTGGCTGCTTCCGTGGCTTGTCTAGGTTGTTACCTTTTCAATTTTTCCTTTTCTATCAATTGCGGTTATATACTATACTATATTGTCACTTCACTGAGTTGTGCGAAAAATGGAAGTACGAACGGAAGACCCCTGGACACAGCGCTCACTATCAACTGAAATTTTATTTGGAAAAACAGACACATATAAGCAGTTACGAGAACACTTACAGTGAAAGCAATGATTAGATGAGGAGGAGGAATAAATGAGGAAGGACAGGGAGGTTAGCGATTAGCAGACATATCGTATTAATGACGAGATTGTATTACTATATTATAATTTGTACACGACCATGCTTACGCTTTCTACCTTTTCCTCTGTTTCTTTCCATTTCTCTCTCTCTGTCTGTACTCGTTCTTCCCATTCCACATGTTCGCTTGTATTTCCCTCCCACTTTCTATACTATACTCTACAACGCTATGCTACGATCTCCTTGTGTGCCTGACCACTACTCAGAAATTTTTTTCGGGGGGGGGGGGGGGGTGAGGGGCACGGGCATGGTGTGCTACCACATTTACGCTACTGGTATGGTCTACGGATAGCCGATTGTGTTTATGGCATTATTTAATGTGCAAGGTTATGACCATCCAGGTTCTTGGCAATAACGGCAGTCGAGGATCACTGGTGCTGCATTACAAGAGCTGTTTACTTCCCATTTTTACCCTCAGAAAAACGAGGACCCAATGCAGGCCGTAGTTAGATAAGTCGTCGCTCTCTTTCAATCCGCTGCGAAGCTCCGGTTTTTCGCACTCAATCAACGGGCAAGGGGGGTGTAGTGGGAATTTGACGCCCCTGATAGAGATCTCTGCACCCTTCTTTCCGCAAGACGCGCTGGCATGCCACGCTTACCCCGGGTATACCACTGATCATGATTTCGTTTGATTTTTTTCCTTCTCCTTTCTCCGTTCATGATACGACGACCACCACCACTACCACCACCACTACTACTACTATACCACAGAACACCTATGCTACTACTACTGCCACTATATGCTACTACGACGGCGGTGGTGCCGTCAGGCTACTCCATCACGTGTGGTGAAGGTCACTGAACACGTCATCCTCAAGCGGGCATCTAAAATTTCCGAGGAAAGAAATCTCCTTCCGTTTATTCTAATTTGATTCAGGCCGTCCATGTCCACGCAAAATGTAATGTTGACAAGATGTCCATGCAGGATGTAATGTTAACAAGATCATTGACAGGGTCTCCAGAGACACGTACCAAAGCTCTTCCGATGCTTCACCTGGAAAAGGCCTTCGACAAGGTCAAACGCCCTCACATACTTTATTCTACTAAAGGAGCAGGTGGGTCTAGGAGAACATTTTCACAAGTACATAAGCTCATTTCTTAATAATCGAAAATCTACTGTTCACTTCAGCTCGAAGACATTTAGTCTTGGACCCAGAGGCACCCCACAAGGGGCAGGGCTATCCCCATTTTCATTTAACTTAGGTCTGAGAGCGCTCGAGCACTCTGCCGCAGTCTGGTCAAGATTGAAGGTCCCGGTCACGCCTTCTACACCGACGACATCACCGTCTAGTGTGGGAAAGGTAGTGATGGGCAGATCAAGGAGCGATTGCAAACAGTGATTACGGCTGTGTAAGGTTTTCTTCACAAGGCAGGACTCTGCTCGTCGAACTGCTCCTTAACCGGCCCACAATTATGGGCTACTTTTGCATGCAAAGAAAGGAAGTTTTTCCGATATCTCAATAACCACAGCGAATGGCTCCATTATCCCGATCGTAAAGAGAGATAGAATCCTCGTATGTTCCTGGAGGAGGATGTCAGTAACGCCCGTAAGAATGCATCGCAGCCAAAGCCGATTCCATGACAAAATTATTGAGAAGGGTGGCCAGCAAATGAGTGGGGTTATCCGAGGAGAACCTTCGGAGACTCTCACGCCTTCCCACTGAGCCACATGAACCACTGGCCCACAAGTGGAGCAGAAGGGACAAAGTCAGATTAGAATCAATAACTCGCAAGAGCATAAAAATGGTACTGGTTCTCCCACAGAGCGCTTCAGAGTACAGACAATCTATTGGCGCTGGGCGTCCACAACATATTTTGAAAAAAATAGTAGAGGCTCAACAGGTTGCACAAGATGCAAGAAGGGCTTCTACGAAAGCTGGCAGAAAAATTAGCGCATATTGGTATACGTTCTACCATCAACAGACAGAGGGAATGCGCGCTGCCCATCAAGGTCAGGGAAATGTATTCTGTATCCCAGATACCAGTTGAGAAACATGCAGCCCCAGTACAATTACATCAGACGCTAAGCGAGGGCCAGAGCCATTCTTCGCACAGCGGCTACAGTTGAGGAGATGTAACGTCGCCCCCGTTGATGCTGTCTACGCAGCTTCCAATCACTTTGTTTCGGCAGCTACGGCACTACGGGGGAGCTGTTGATATCAATTAGGCTTTTAAACGTGGATGCCGATCTCACTTTTAACGAAGTCTGTATAAACACTATCATCAGGGGCGTCGGAAGTTTCCGCTTCCATACCCACGCTTAAACAGACCGCAGACAATGACCCTGTGAATGTTATAGACGAACACATATTCATATACGTTCATGTGCTCACAATTCATGATAGACCCGGTGCTGTCCACGCTGCGGTCATCCTGGCTAGGTGCACACTTCAACACGTGCTGTGGCAGTGTCACGACTTGCGCGAGGGCTCAAGGTCTCCTTCGACGGAGGAAGACTAGCTCCGGCTCTTCATCAGTTCCGCAAAGGACCAATAGCTAATGAGGGCTGTCCAGAGAGCCCACGAAGCCTATAGTCACCAAGATCGAGCCTGAACCTCCCGGCGCCATCGTGGGTGCGGACCGTAGACGGTACCCCCTGACGGGGCCATTCTCTTCTTCTTAGGACCAAATAAAATTCTTTGACTGACTGACCCTTACGTCACCCTCTTCTACGCTACGAGAGTAAGCGCTACTTGCGAGTCAGTGCACAAATTAAGGCGCGGTGCATGGGTTTTCGTACTGTGGAAAGGAAACAGTGCCAGCCCATTTAGCACTATACTGTTGTCCCACGGGCGCTTTTAATCGCGATTTGGGAGATTCGGCTCGGTTTTCTTGATCGCAATAATTTTTATGGCCACTCACGTACGGTTTAAGCTAGAGTGTCTTGTTCTAGTACACTCGATCTGGTTCGAACGAGGTCGGGGTTCGAACTTGGGTCAGCGTATCAGGTGGCGTTAGCGTGCCCAAAATCTTGTAGAATGCGTACGTGGAACATGATTTGCAAGTAGTTGATGAAACTCATTTATTTTTTTACATTCTATTAAGCTTGTTTAGAAGCGCCTGCTTTGTGAAATGTTTTAAGCTTGGTGCAGTTCTGCTCGGGTAGTCAGTCATCGTTCAAACAAGTTAACGCTAACGGGCGCTCATTATTCCGTTTGCTTCTCGTGCCAGGCGCCGTGAATGTTTGGCTGCGCTATCGTAATTACTAATGAGTACCACAAAAAATCTCACGATTGCTGCTCTTACAATGTGATCACTGTTGAACTAAATGGGGGCGTACGTACTGCACGTACTCCAACACAAATCAACTCAGGTGCGATATATTTCTATAGACATACCTTTACCAGCAACACTAAATATTCGTGCAAAAAATGCACGAACATCTAACTTTACGTGCCTGTACAAAGGTACTTTCATAAATACATCATTCGATTGAGTTTCCCATGCACTTACTATATTGCTGTGTGATATCCTCATAATTACACGTCACTTTTATTTTTGATCAACGGTCTTGATCTCGATTAAGCCTGATCGCGATTAAAAGTGGCCGTGCAGCAGCGCGTGCCTCTGTGAGCAGCAACTAATCCAGATCAGGCTTAAAAGTGCCGTGCGACACCGGACATGCAGTTTTGCTGTTCGTTCGCCTTTTTCTTTTCATGGTTTCGTTTGTTCCTGAAATCACGTTTCGTTTTCCCGTGTCCCGTGAAATATTTCGTTCCGCCAAGATAAGCCAATCCAAGCCAGACAGTGGCATGGAGGAAAAAATGGCGGTGGAAACAGCTGTCGCGCTCTGTGTACAGTCAACTATCCTCGCGTGGCTAACATTTGCACATGTGTAAATTGAGCTAGTTTCTACTCGGGCTTAGTGTCCGAGTTTGTATCGCCTCCATTCTGGCTCCTGCGTGGCCGTCGTCATCCCAAAGATGTCCAGGCGGCGGCGTGCCGGTGTGTACAGTTGGCGAAGGAGGTGTGTGGGGGCGTTTTCCCATCCGGTATGCATTCGGCCCGTCTGTAAAGCTGCTCCCGCTGCAGTGATAAACTCTTTGTTATTGAAAACGACCGAATTGTGCCTCCTCTATTCAGCCAGACACTCGGGAGATCAAACTAGGCGACGAGTGTGGTCGATTTCGTTCAGTGGTGGACGTTGACCTAACCAGTGGTTGTGTTGTGGCTGTTGCTGTGCTCCAGCTACAGGGCCTGCCTCCTTCCCTGTGCGATTGTGTAAGGGTTCTTTGTGGCGGCAACGACATGGACGACTCCAGTGACGTCGTCGACGACCGACTGCGAAGTGATTCCATCGCTACAGAGGACGCCGCGCTTGCGTTTGATATAGAGGAGTTGGACGACAAGGAATTTGAGTTGCCACCCGTGGAAAACCCCCCAACGCTGGAAAGCATATTGAACGAAGTGGATGGAGGCTCGCTGAGTGACGAAGAAGTGCCAAACCAAGCACTCTTCCACGGAAACTGCGATTCGGTCTCACTTGCCAGTGCCGACTCGAGGAATCTACCGACTGATCGAGTTAGTGCTCGTCCGAGCAGCATCTTGCGACATGTCATCCTGCGAGGAGTGTCTTCCCAGCTACGGTCAGCCATGGAGCGCGTTGACTCTGGAAAACCCACCGCTATGGCCGTGTCCTCACTAATCGCTGTGGGAACCTTCCACGGCTTGGTGCTGGTGTTTGATCCCGAACAAGCTTTGAAGTGGTGCCTGGGAAGCATACAGCTGGGCGAGCAGTATGGTTCCGTGTCCGCGATGGGCTTCAATGGCGACTGCAGCCGGCTACTTTGCGGATATGCCAAAGGTCAGCTGACAATGTGGGACCTGTCGAATGGAAAGCTGCTACGAACAATCACAGACATCCATCCGCCTCAGATGGCCATTCTGCATGTCAAGTTTACAGACGATCCAACGCTTGCCATCTGCAGCGACAGCGGTGGCTCTGTATATGAACTTAACTTTAGAAAGGTGCTCAACAGCCGGACGTGCGACTCGGTGTGCATTTTTTCCGGAAGTCGGGGCGAGGTCTGTGCCATGGAGCCGCTGCACGTGAGCCCCGAGGTGTCGCGGCACCCTGCCCAGGAGGTGTCCTTGCTGGCGTTGGCGACTGTCACCAAGGTTATTGTGGTGACTGTGCGCCCGGTGCTGCGTGTTCGTTTCACCCATTCTCTCAGAGCAGACCCAAACACATTGCCGCTGCTGAGCTGGCAGTTTGTGGTCATCCAGGTGTCTGCTTCAACGCGAATCATCGACCCTGTGCTAGCCTTTGGTCGCCAGGGCACCATATACTTTTTCCAGGTCAACATTCCAAGCTTCGACAAAATGGTTTTTGTGCCTTTACAGAAAATACAAGTGCAATACACAGTGCAGAATTTCACTTGGCTGAACTCACGAACGTTTGTCGCATTAGATACGTCGGAAAATCTTCATGTGCTTGATGTTAGGTCGCAAGAAGAACTTGAGGTGCTGGACATGTCAGATGTGCAGATGGTTTATGGTACGAGCCATTTCAAAGGGCACGCTACTGGTGGCAACGTGAGCAAGGCTATGGTGGCTGCAGCCGAGCGAGCTTGCTACCACTCTATGGCAGGTTGTGGGGCCCAAGTTCTGCTTCTGGGCCTGACATCCGTTCATGTGCTCAGCCTCCGCACATGGCTAGAAAGGCTGGAACTCTTGTATCAACAGCAGCAATATGCAGAGGCCCTCCGCCTGACGTGCAGTCTTTACCGAGATGAGGCAAAGGCAGTGTGTGGTCTGGTGGGCAAGAAAGTTCGCCGCCAGCACCAGGTGGCCACTTATGCCCAGCAGCTGCTTGAGGCCCTTGCGGCTGGCCCGCCTGACCGAATTCAACCTGTGGTGCCCCTGTGTGTCCAGCTTGCTTTGCTGATCAAGGAGCATGTGCCCGATATATTGGATAAGCTGTATACTATGCTGCCAACTGAGGTGAAAGGCAAGTTCCTAGACAGCCTTCCAGTGCATCTGCTGGATGGTGAGCTGCGTAGCCCCAGCCCTGCCTTGGCCAAGGACTTGGTGAGCCAATTGGCCAGCATGGACCAGTTCGAGCTCTTGGAACGTTGCCTTGTGTGCCTGGATGTGGCGTGCCTGGACCTCCACCAGGTGATGACACTGTGTTGGAAGCACAGCTTGTACGATGGCATCATCTATGTGCACAATCAAGCCTTGAATGATTTCACCACACCCATTAAGGAACTGATGGCTGTATTGTGGCAAGCCCTAGAGTCTGGCAAGCAGCTGACAGACAACCAGGTGCTTTTGGGCAACAAAATGTTGGTTTACATAAGTTGCTGCTTGGCAGGGCGAGGCTACCCACATGGGGAACTTGCTGCAGATCAGGTGGCTGTAGTTAAGAAGGATGTGTTTCAATACATCACTTCTCTGCGAGGATCAGGCACTGATAATCATGGGACATTTCCATATCTGAGGACATTGCTTCACTTCAGCACCAGAGAGTTCTTGAATGTACTGGCCTTGGCTTTTGAGGAACCGGAGTTTGGCACAGAGGCAGGGTTGGCACAAAAGCAGCGCCTGGTTGATATCTTGCTTCAGATTATGGTCCAGGGTGAAGGATTTCTGCCTACGCAAGTGGGAGCCCTGTTCACATTCCTGGCCAGGCAGTTGGCACAACCGGATAACAACCTCTTTGTTGACAGGCTCCTCTTCGAGCAAGTACTGGAGCATTTGACGCACCCTGGGGATGAGACGCAGCAAGAGGAACGCCAGCAGGCTCTGCTTGAACTGCTGCAAGCAGGTGGCTTGGCTTCAGTCGACCAAGCACACCTTCTTGATCTCGCTGAGCAGGCCCGTTTTTATCGGGTGTGCGAGTACTTATACGAGAAGCAACGCTTATACCACAAAGTTTTTCTATGCTACTTAAATGACCCTTCCCGCGAGCTACAGAGTTTTGACTATGCCGTGCGCATCTTTGCCAGCCCCAATGTGAGTGAGAAGGAGAAGGCACTTCTTGAAGACCAGCTCGTTAACAGCCTCGAGGCCCTCATGAAAGTGGACAGCAGGGCCACTTCACAGCTGATGCTGCAGTACCTTGCCCATCGCGTGGATGACATCATGCGCCATCTGGAGGGTCAGCCGAAAGTGCTCTATCAGTTTTTGAAGGGTGTCTGGACTAGCAGGGAAGCCTCCAGCCTGACTCAGAGTGCCAAAGACACAGATAGCATGACTGCTGCAGTTCAGGAGCAGTACACTGAGCTCATGTGCCAATTTGAGCCAGATGCGGTGGCCCCCTTTCTGGTCTCTGCAGAAGGCTATCGCATAGAGGAAACGCTGGAGATCTGCCGCAGGCACAACGTCTTGGATGCCACAGCTTACCTGTTGGAGAAGACTGGTGATGTTCACGGGGCTTTGCACATACTACTGCAGGTGCTGGATGAAAAGTTACAGGCATGCGCCCAGCAGGGCCCCATGCGAGAACAACTGCTGCAGGAGGCACGTGTGCGACTTCAGGCTGTAGTGCAGCTGTGCCAGCGCAGCTGCCCCTTCCTGAGTGCAGCCGAACGTGAGGCCCTCTGGTTTCCGGTCCTCGAGAGGGTCATGGCACCCCAGCGTCAGCTACGATCGGCTTTGGGTGCTGACAAAGACTTCCTGTCGCTGACCCACCAGCTTTTGGGGAGCATGATGGGCTTTGTGGCTTTACCAAACATCCTGCATAAGCTCATGCAGGATCCAGCTTACAACACGGGCAAGTTCGGTGAAGTGCGCCACTTTGTCATGAAGATGCTGGATACACACAATTACGAGAAGGCACTTCTACGTACCACTAATCGGTTGCTGAGCAGTGATGTGCACATGCACCTACGCCAGCTCAAGGCAGCCGCCAACAGGGCGTATGTGTCGCACACAGCTGCCTGTGTTGCATGTAATCGAGGCTTCTTCGAGCCAGGTGGTGTCGTCATGTTTCGTTGCAGCCATTGCTACCACAAGTCCTGTCTGGCAGCCCTTGGTCCTGGAGAACGAGCTAGTGAAGTGTACTGCCAGCGCTGCAGAACACAGCCACTGGGACAACCCTTGGAGTGCCCCACTCAGGTGGCATCGAGCACATCGCGAAGCCTCCCAGACACATTACTGCCAGTGCTGCTGAAAGACAACCTCCAGCTCCACCTTGCACCTGCGCGTTCTCCAGACATCAAGCTGGACATCTGAATTAGCTCCACGTTGTCGACTCACATACACAGCTCTTGTGCAATGCAGGAAAACACTTTGAATGAATTGCGTAGTAACTGGACACCGTCTGTTTGGTTTAACCAAATGAACTGCACCCAGAGCGCATTAAGTGGAAACATATTAATTTTATTTTAAGGGTTAGTGTCTAACATAAATAAATAGAAATCGAAGCAGTAAAACCAAGATGGTTCTCCAGTGCTGGAATGGTTCTCCAGTGTGGAACAAAATTTGCACTATTTAACCAACAAGATGAATGCCATGGATACGCAATAACGTGGAAACGGACCAACCATGCATTTATTGCTTTTCGGTCTTGAGCGGTTTAGAGATGATTAGAAGAAATGATGATAAACATGGAAAGGATAGTTTAGGGGGCAATCATAACCCTGTAACATAAAACTGCAAAGATATACCAACACTTTAGCAAGTAAGCTTACAAAACAACAAAAATCTCAAACAGCTGAAAGGAAAAAAATGGGGGGCATTTTTCTTAGCAGTGGCAGATGACAAAGAGTTCGAGAAGGTCATGCTGCTTGAGATAAGGTAAAGAAAACTTGAGGAAATGGTAACAGAAAACTATATAATTGCAAAATAAAAAAGTAAAGCGGCCTTATACAAGCTAGAGCATAATAACTATGCATCTCGGAGCCATTGAAGATTGATATGTCATGATAGATGTGCTGCTCTAATGAAACAACCACGGGAACAAGAGACAGCAAATGAGTGCAAAATTTATCTACGACACAGCAGGTGCAGAAATTTTAGAAAGTAGACAGAAGGGTACCAGAAAATTTCTGAAAGAATTTGAGAGTGCTAGAATCGTCAACTGTAATTTTGTGAATGTTAGTAATAGGCAAATTCCAAAATTTTCAAAGGAGCAAATGTGTTGTGTTTCAGGGAAAGCTTCTATAGGAAAGTGTTGTACTAGTAGAATCACATGGAAGGCAGCAGTACCTGAAGTACCCTTTTTACTGACCTGATGTTTCTCTTTACTGTAATTCCTCAATCGTTGAATATTTGAAATGGCTCTGCAGCAGAATTGCATACTAGGTGATTGTGCTTCTCTTTTAGGAGGCGCTTTACGGCCTCCGGTGTTACCACTACGACTTCATCAAGAGGCAGGCGTCATCTCCACAAATACAGTTTTGCAGCATCGACCTTTCAGATCTTCACGCCATACACGTAACTAGCATTGAGCACCAATGTCACAGACTGTTACTAACAGTCATTATGCTACACTTCTTGAGTGCACATTTTCTCTCTTATGATAGCTTTTTTTTTTTGAGCCACTGTAGTATGGCTGAACATTATGTCCCTTCAATGAATGGACACAACGAATAGAGAAAGCAGTGCCTGAATAGGTCCAGAAAATGCCGCAAGAGTTTTGAGAACAGCAATGTTAGCCCACAACTTTAGGACAAACACTTTTGGTACCCATTTTGTTTTTACTGTTAAAGATGTCTTCTGTGCCCCCAGGGTAATATTGCCATGGCAGCATACAACGTATATGTCCCTATGGATGCCACTGTCACAGCCATGCAAATGTTACATGCAGGTTTAAACCATCACGTTTGAGGCATTTCAGGACATGCTGAAATTGGATGCAGGGAACAAAAATCTTTTTTTCAACAACAACAAAAATATCTAAGAATAGTGCTTCTTGTCTAAGCCTTCCTGTTCCCTGTTGTGACATAATATTTTACCCACGTGGTCACAATGCGATTTGACTGATGTGCTATTAAATTCCCTCTCTTACTACAGTGCCAACTCGATCTCCAAGAAGAGCTAGTATTTCCATACATGCGTTGCTAGCACACCAATGTATCCATTTTAGATTGTTTGATGTAATAATTGTGATCTTTCTCACTTCTGTATTCGCTTTTAGTTCTAATTTGTGTTCTTTCGGCACCGATGAAACAGCGAAGGTGGTGGCGTTCAGTGGGGTTGAATGAAGTGAGTTGGATGAAGTGGCAGCAGCAGCAGTAGTGGTGACTGGCTGGAGGGGTCAGTTGTGAGAGTAGGGGGAGTAGTGGTGCCACGCATTTGTAGTGGGATTTGCTCGCTTTTTGTGGGTAAACCCCACTTCAATATACGATGGTCCCCGGACATGAAAACCTAGATCAAGAACAGCGTCACTGTTAAAAGTGGTGGGGCATTTCTTCTCGTGCCTTTCCTTTGTGACAATGCAGGTAGAAAAATTATTAGGATGGGGCAGGCACAGTGAAAGCATATCCAGCCCAAATAAAACTGTGTCGATCCAACGTCGAATCACCACATCACAGCATGCTCGCATTTCAGTCAAACTGCTGGGCTAGAGGAGCCATACAAGCATTTCCGGCCAATGAGCTTGTTTTCAGGGGTAACGCTGCTCACGTGATGGCCTCGTCAGGCTTGCTTGGTAGATCCATCCACTGTAGCACACTCGAATTATCTGGATAAAGCTTATATGGGGACAAAGAAAAAGCACCATTCACGTGACAAATCCTGCTTCTTGCTTTACAGTGCATGCATAGTGGGGATCATGTGAAGAACTGAATACGCAGGCTGTGTTCAGTGACGACTTGAGAAGTGCCTGTTATGAAGAGTGTGGTGCCTGCTCTACAGGCCCTCTTTTCGTCTCTCTGCAAGCAGGGGCGAATCCAGCCACTCATTTTAGAGGTGGTGGTCGCTTGAAGGAACACCAGGGAGGGGACGAGGTGCTCATTTTTTGTTTTTACTTGCACAAAAACCACATCATAGTGTAGATACCGTTAATGTATGTTCATAGTGGTCTCCTCATTTGTTCTCATTAGTGGTAAGGTAAACGACAAACACTAAAGAGAGAGAGGTGGTGCTGACACAAGCGTAAGGAAGTCAATCGCCCCTACTGCTCCCGCCCCCCTGCCCTTGCCTGTAAGTGCACCTCACTTGAGAAGGAGGGTGTCTGGCCTTGTGTCTTTGCATTTTGACTGTTTTGGAGCTACATAGGCAGGCCATACTTTGCGCACACAATTTCCATTGATTGAACTGCATGCCATGTTTATTCGTGGTGTCAAAATCTAGTTAAAGACCCACATAACTTCACTGAAGGCACACTCTTACGAGTTTTATTATTTTAAATGTGAAGCGTTTCTCTGTGAACCAAAGGCAATTTGATCCTGACAGTGTATCTGCCTACGTCTTGGCACAGTTGAATTGATGTTATTTCATTAACTTGGTATGTGGACCAATATTGGCATGGCACAACATGGCTGTATGACACGTAAATCCCAGGTCATCAAAGCTGTAGGCAACACTTAATTTGAGAGGGAGGACTCGTGCCTCACTTCGTTGACGCTCTAAGAGTTAAGTGCCAAGAAAAAGACAACCATGAGAATAGACAGACAAGCACTAACTTTCTACTTTAGTGTCAAGCAAAAAAAAAAAAAACAAATTTATGAATAGGTTAAATGCAAAGAGAAGATAAGTGTTATCACATGTTGAAATGAAAGTTAACAAAGCAGTATCAACGAAACTACAGAAAATGATGCACAGATTAAGACAATAGGTAAAATTGGGGTGGTAACCTCATGTACAAAGCTCCACCTTCCAAACTATCTTATTTGTTTTTTCTGGTGACAGCCACTCGTGTTGCTACATAACATCAAAAAAACATTTTTTGTTATAGAAATTATTGTCTTAGCGCTCCCAAAGATGTTCAATTAGGCACCGTCTTGTTTGGCCCACACTGCCTTCATGCACCACATCACTAAGGGATCCTGTACACAATCCCTGTTCCTACAAGTTATAGGTGTTTTCATTCCGCTTAGTTCAGTTGCATGTCATCATGGTGTATCAATGCTGATATCTACTTTTCCCTTCACTGCAGTCATATTTATATCCTATATAAATCTTGTCTTTTTTTAATAACCTTTAGCTGAAACCATTGGTGTAGTCAGGGATGGTTTTTGAAGTGGTCTTTTCCACCCTTGATATATTTACATTTTGCATTGTGTATATATTAGCGCAAGCATATAAACTCGAAACATAGAAAGAGGAAGTCGAATACCTCCACCCTCGTCCCCCTTATATAAAACAAAGAAACATTTCTGGCAGTGGCCACTGTTGAAAGCCAGGACCTGTCTGTGTTGGCCTTGTCATGTCGTGTCATGGCCTTGTCTCCTTGTCATGTCATGGAGCCCTGGCTGGCCCAAACTGCCATCCCAAGTCTGGCTACACCTGTGCAGGACATGACATGAGTATCATGACATGCATGTAATGTTCATCATGGTTCCATTGTGATGCAATCGTGACTATTTCATTACCTTGCTATGTACCAGAATGTGCATCACATGACGTGTGTATGACAAACATGAATGACAATTGGAACTGTTTTAACTCCAACAAAAAAAAAAGCCAAATCCCACGGACAGTGGGAATCGATGATATGTGAGGCACGAATGAGAAAGGTTGCTATGTCACTTTAAAATCAGCACAACGTTACCAGGTGGAGGTAAATGCTGCCGTACATGACTTCAGTGACATGATTATCATGTTTGGATGTGTCGTTTACCTTCATCTATTCACGTCACGTGGTACCAAATTTAGTATATGTGGAGCTAGCGAAACAACCGCGAGCACGCTATGAGCGTAGTATGTTGTCATGTTCTTACATGACGCGTGTCAGGATTATCATGTTTGCACCAGTCATATACTTCGTCACCCATCGATGTCACTTGACACCAAATTTGGTATATGTGGAGCTAGCGCAATGGCCGTGAACGCATCATGAGGGGCCCAATAAACTCCAATGTAGCGCTGACGCGCGGGCACGCTGGGCACAGCGACGCTACGTTAGCAAAATGCGAGCACTCTATAGCCTGACGTCAGGCGCGATCAGCGTCCGTCGGCGCGGCTCGACGGCAACTGGCGAGAAATGCGACATGCTGCATTTCAGGCGATGCTTTACCCAGAAAACACTGCGTCTCCCTTTTTTCGTGACGGAGGGACGCCGGATGCACTGAAATGCGCATGCGTCAAAGCAACGCAGCGCGGCACGAACCTGCGAGTATATATGGCAGGACCGGTGCCCGGCGCGGCAACGCTGGCGTGACCCTACGAAATGAACGCCGGTGAGCACCGCGTCAAGTCGAAATGTATTGGTGCCTTGACTGTGGCATGTATGTTCTCGCATGACACGCATTTCATGCTTATCATGTTTGCACCTGTCACATACCT